TTCTTACTCGACCATTTTTGTAAAAATATTTAAAACGCGGACGTTTGGTTGTTATATTATATTATTATTGTATATACTTAGGTAAACATTAGTAATACCTACATAAACATAACGTTGTATAATATTAATAATAATCATAGAAATAATTTAATAAAATATAATAGTAATCATAATAATGGATAGTTAACGAAAATGGAAAAAAATAATTGTACGTTGGGAATTGACACAAAATAATGTATACACATACATAGTATCTACGACAATACAAATAAGATAAGTATCAAAAAGTGTGTAAAGTAAAACAGGATAACCTGTGAACACACATTAGGCGAAACGTAACTCTTAAGTATTTTTTTTTTTTCAATGAAATCACCGACCAAAAAATAACTAGGAATTTCATTTTACCGAATAATGTACTCAGACAGATGTGTATCCTCAGTTTTCAGGTAATCTCTTTGGTGTTAGTCATCGCATTTGTATAAGTACCCATGTTCTAATTCGCCAATAGTTAAAAACACAACAAGTATCCAACAATATATTATGGGGGTCGGGGGGCGCTACTCTACTCCTTGAGGGACCCTGTGGTATAGGTACACTTCCAAACGAGTTAACCGGGAAGTACAAGTCAAAGGAAAACGGGGAAGATCTATTATTTAATATCCGTCTATATACATAGATAAACAATGTCATAATTATTATTATAGTCATAGAAAATAATTTGGAGGAAAAAAACAACTTGGTGCACACTTCTTATTATTATTATATTATATTATAATTTTTTTTTTTTGCCACAAATTTATACCGTTTGATTATCATTAGCTTGTTTTTGTTTTGACCACGAATAAAATTTGTTTTTGTTTGCCCATTACAATTTAAGCGATAAAGAAAAATAGTGTTTCTCCGTTTGCGATATTAAGGGTCTGGTACAAACTTTATATAATACATTAATTTATTAATATATATTTTATGTAAAATCAATTGTGTAAACTTAGATGCCCTGATAACGAACGATTGTATTGTCTCTATGATAAATTCCTAAAGAACTCTTTGTCCGCGATTTCCACGTAGTAATACATTTCGCTTTGATCTCAAACCTCGTTTCTGGATATCATTCAATCCCTTCCCAGCCTTTGGGGTAGTTGCCAATAGTTCCAAAAATGCCGGCAAAACTACTATCCTATACAATATAATGTGGCCGGCCGGGTGGACGGGTCAAAACCTAGTAGATGCGACAGTCACACACGACGGAAAAAGGGAACTGCTATTGTGTGTATAATTGACATTGGTAATACAAGTTGATTCGGCGATAGTATTATTTCTCACGTAGGTACCATTACTAGAAAAAATAGTATAAAAAAATAATCCGTTTCCGCGTGCACTTTGTCACCACGGCGACGGCGGCGGTCATTTAGTCGAAGTAATATAATATCTACAATATCAAAAAGGGGTTTGGTTGAGTGTACAACGATTTACATTATACGGGGAGTTTAATAACGTTGTTATTCCAAATAAAGCGACGCTATGAAAATAAGGAAATGTCGAGAACAACAACTGCCGACCGATATATTGTTGACAAAAGCTAAAATCGATTTTTCACCATAACAACAAACGTCAACGGGTGTAGGCTACACCCAAAAATGTTGAATGTATCACGAACAGTAGTATTAACACAATATCATTACTATTGGGTATTATATAATATAGCGATAGAAAAATATAAATAATAAGTATTTAGTATAAAATATTTGACGACACCCGCGCAAAGAAGATATGAAATGCACAAATACACGGTCGAAAAGGCCACCCTGATTTTTTTGCTGTTTAATTTAAAAAAAAAAAACGAAAAACAATAATATTATCATGTCGTTTGTAACGAAACGGAAACGTCAACAGCAGTAACCAACCGGGAATAATAGAATAATAGTCTCTCGAAAATAAAAGGCATCGATTACCGCTGATTACAATATACTTTTTCTTTAATATTAAAAATTATATATAATTGTTACGTTGGCACGGTTGTTATTGTTAATACTCAATATTCGATGCATTTGGTTGACAATTACCGAGTAATAATTGTCTTTAATGTGAAACATTAGTTTAACTATAGAGTGTCTGGTGCCTTCAGAAAGCTTTAAAAAGAAAAACTAAAGTAAAAAAAAAAAAAATTATAGTAACCTTATACTGCTATACAAGACTATAACTACTTGAGTAAATGCATAACGCGAGAGTCCCGTTTCTGGTATTGACATAATGTGTTTTTTTTTTTTTTTTTGTAACCAATGTCGATACTGAAATTCTGGCCGTACGCATATACATATATAGGAAACGTGAAACCAGTGTGTTACGTGTACTAATATGGTCGGAATACCAACACTAACCTTACTAAGTTACTATTAGTAATAATGATAATAATAATAAATAAATGAATAAGTATGGATACGACTATTATACATACAACATACAATAGGTAAACGCGAGTTTCTAACTATGGAATAAAATATGTATAAAAAAATAAATCAATATTATAAAAAAAAAACCGAAATATATATACTTACTCAATGATAATAATTAATAATAATAATAGTATAATAAAATTAGGCAGACCATGTCTACTATAGTAAAATTATTAATAAAAAATAAAAAATTAATGTTTTAAAAACACTCGAGACCACTGACTAGAATATGTTTTTCTTTTTGTCTTTTTAATCCTAAGAACATGCAAGTAACTAAAAAAATAAGTAATGGAACACACACGGGAAGTAATAAAAATGTTAGTAGGACACTTGGAGAGCTTACATACAAATGTTACTGATAATTTTTTGGAAAGACATCATAAAATTAGTAAAATAAAATAAAAAAGTGAGGTATTATGTTTTCGAAATTAATTATCATGTATTATAAAAATTATATTAAAAAAAAATGTATAACAAGTTTTAATTATCTTTAAACAAAAAAAAATAAATAATAATAAGAAATAAATAAAACAAAAATGCGCATTGCCATACAAAAAAAGTTATAGGAGAGACAATAATAATGATTCGCTGATAAAACATAATATTTTGAAATATAGGCTCGTTGGTCCTTTGTGGTGGAAATAGATGACGAGGACAAATACATTAAGTGTCTTAGTAATTTTGTTAAAAAACATAATAATATTAATATTAAGAATATAACACGATTAACTCTTTATTTAGCAACTAAACGAGTAACTTAAAAAAAAAAGTAATGGGAGGCAAAGCGCAAGTTTACAAAGCAATTTGCTAACTAAATGCCTCATATTTTTAATTAATATCATAATCGTCAATAATAAATAATAATAAAATCGAAAATATCAATTAAAAATGCAAAAATAATAATAATAATAATCATAATAATAATAATAATAATAATAAAAAAATAATAATAATAAAACGCGTAAAACACAAACACAAACACTACATTAAAACTACATCATATTAATATAATTTCGAGGTGCATTAAAAAAAAAAATAATAATAATAAGGAAACGAAAAAATTAAATACTGTGAAGACGCTATTTATCCTTAACTATAAGAATACGAAAGTACAAAAAAAAAACGATTAAGAATAAAGTCTAAGAATGGAATACCGCACATTTTTTTTAATATAAAAAGGAGAAAATTAACTAAAATTAAACTCAACAATAATAATATCCAATAACTACTTAGACAAAGAAAAACAAAAACTAGTGAGCAATCCCACTATAACAATTATTACTCCCAAATAAAAAAAATATTATTAAACTTTTGTTGTTTTAGTACTTTTTGTTTGTACATTTTTTATAATTAAGATTTCAACACTTGATTATTAATATAAAATAACAACGCAAAACATGAGAGTTACACACTTACACAAAAATTGATTTAGTAATTAATATAATTCTAGTATAAGTAATTATATAGTAATAAATGTATAATTAGGACAAAAAAAAAAAATTGTAAACCTGTACACGTACTAGAATATTTGTATTTCTTTTTGTTTGAGTTTCAGTATAGAAATGAATGAAAAATTAAAAGGAAAACAACTTACAACATAATTTTTAGGTAGGTAGTTTCGTTTTTTTTCTTTTAAATTATACAGGTTAAAAAAATAATGGTGCGAGCATCCGTACGATAATTAGTGGCGAAAAAAAATAGGAGACTCGGAATCCGAAATTTGACTAGCAAAGTCCTATAGAAAGGAACGCTTCAACAAATCAGAGCAGATACTATGATGTAATAACAAAAAAATTAAAATAAAAACAATTAAACAAAATTATAATTAATTTAGTTTAAAAGGTATAATATTGGTAAGAAAACTATTCTGGGATTTCAGTACATTTTTAATGAATACAAAAATAATAACAAAAAATAAGTAAGTTTCGCGCACTTAAAAGGACAAAGACACTCGCTAGCCTAACTATTTCTCTTCAACTACTTTTTTAAAGTTATGTTTAATAATAATTAATTCACATAATAATAATACAAAATAACAGTCCTTAAGTTACAAATTACAAGTCTCAGAATTTCAATCTAACCTGGTTACAATAAAATATGTATTTAAAAAAAACATCCAAAGAATAAAAACCCCGCGAAGTTAAAATATTAAAAACGATATAAGTTAGTGGTAAATAAAAAATAATAATACAAAAAAAACATGTTTGATGGTTTGGTATTTTTTTAAAAAATTTTTTTGTATTTTTTTTTTTTTTTGGTAATATTGTATGATGGTTTTTTTTAAGTACTCGAATATGTAACAGGTTTACACTGTGAATTTGCTAAAATGAAACAATAATAATAATTTACTCAATTAATAAAAACATAATTACGCAACTGTACTCCTGATGAGCTTAAAACGCTCAGGACATAATGATATAATAATAATAATAATAATAATAAACGCAGTGATCTGCGGCCTTTTTTCTTTCTTTCCTTACATTTTTGCATAACAAAATACTTTGTGATGAGCAGTGGCGATACCTACGCAATAAGAGAGCAATCAACTTGTTTTGTAAAAAAAAAAAAATTAACAGATTTCTTTTCCCTTTCTTTTTTTTTTTTTTTGATGGCGACTTGTTTTTTTGTTTGTTTTTAGGAATGCTTAATAATGAGATCTACATTAACATCGGAGGTATCTGAATGTAACGGTAGATGTACAGCCGATAGTCCTTGCTGGCCAGTACGACAGATCCGTCGTCCATGAGGGCCACGTCGAAGCACTGGGCGTGTTTGACTTTGGACTCGAGTGCGGACACTAGTTGGCCGTCTTGCGTGAAAATGGTCAGATTGAAATTGTTGTGGTTGTCGGCAATGAGGATCTCGCCGGACGCATTGATGCCGACGCCGATCGGGTAGTTGGTGATGCCCTGGTTGCCTATTTGCCGCAAGTACTGGCCCTCGTAGTTGAACACTTTGACGCAGTGCGCCCGGTTGTCCGATATGAATATCTCTTGTTTGTCGTTGACCACAACGCCGTTGGGGAACTCCAAGTGCTTGGAACACCCGAACTTGACCAGCACGTTGCCGGCCTGGTCGAATATGATGACGCGCATCACTTTGCACTCGACCACCACGATGCGGCCCTTGTTGTCGACGGTGATACCGCGCGGGTGTTGCAGTATGTTGGCCCCGAACTTGCGCACGAACTGCCCGTACTGGTTGTAGATCTGTATTTGGTGTGTGGGCGAACGTTCGGTGACGATGATGTCGCCCGACGGTTTCACGACGGCCACGCGGTTCGGATACAGCAGCTGTCCGTCTCGTTTGCCGCACTCGCCGAACTGGAACTTGAACCGTCCCTCCTTGTCGAATATCTGAATACGGTGGTTGTTGGTGTCGGCCACGATTATGTCGTTTTGTGCGTTCACGGCCACGCCGCTGGGCTCGGTGAACTGGCCCTCCATTGCGCCGAACTCGCCAAACTTGCAATGGTAGATCATCTTGTGGCGTTTGATTTGCGACTTGGGCGGGAATATCGAAGCGGTGAACAGTTTGCTGGACAGGTCCAGAATACTGTCGTTGTTGTCGATGGTCAACGGGAAGTCGGCGCTGCCGTTGCTGCTGCCGTTCTGGAATATATCACCGCTGCCGCCGTTGGACCATTTCTCGTACGGGTTGATGCTGTTGATGCTGTTCATGCCGCCGTTACCGCCACCGCCGCCGGTTCCGTTCATGCCGTTGAGTCCGTTGCCGATGGAGTTCAGGTTGAGTTCGCCGATCGAACTGGTCGAGAACGGCCCTAAGCTGTTGACACTGTTGAAACGTTTCGACAGTATGTTGGTTTCGTACTGGTTAGACAGCGGGCTGGTCGACGTCAGTCCGTTTGAGTATGGACGCTCGATGACGCCGTTGGTACCGTTGTGCATTATGTCGGACGAGCCGTTCATACAGCCGCCGCCGTTAGTGATCGTCGAATTTCCGTTCATCAGCGACCCGTTGGTGGGCCGAGCGATGGGCGGCTGTTTGCCGGGCCCGATGACGCCCAACTCGGTACTGGATCGGACGTACCCGAATGTGTTTCTGACGCCCACCTGAATGGCCTGGTAGTTGGACACGAATTCCAGGTCGCATATGTTTTGCACGCTGTTGTCCGGTTCGTAGCTCATCAACGACTGCAATTTCGAGTCGAGCAGCTTCTTGAACAGTAAGCATTCGACTACGTTAGCATTTTTGGTGAGCCTGTCAACAAACTCGCCGGTCTGATAGATCTTGTCGACCACTTCCAGGCCCTTTTGCGAGGCCTCGGTCAACGTCAGTTGTTTCGCGCTGTAAACGCTCTCCACCTCTTTGAGTAGCTCTTGCTTGCGTTCTTCCAACATGGACCGGTAGAACGCAAACGTCTCGGTGATCTCGTTCTGTGCCTTGTGGTACTGCACCTGCAGTTTGTTTGACGTGTGCTCGATGTTCTTGACCATGTTGCGTATGTCGGTGGCCTTGGCTTTGCTCTCTTGCACCGTGCCGTTGAGCACCTCCAACAGTTTGACGCCGATGTCGCTGAGATGCTCGACGTCGTGCATGCTGAACTGGTGATCGCTGAGAGTGCACTCCTTGCAAACGGGCACGTTGCACGTGCGGCAGAAGTACTTGAGCGGTTCGTTCTTGTGCCGGGAACAGAAAACTACGCGGTCGCCGACCGTGGTCGGTATGAACGCGCTTTTGTTGTCGTCGCCGTTGTCGAAAGTCAGACCGTGCAGGCGGTGGTCCTCGAAACAGTTCATGAACTGGTGCGCCATCATGCAATTAGCGCACAGTGTCTGCTGGCAGTCGTAGCAGTAAGCTACCACGTTGGTGTTGAGATTCTTGCAGCCCTTGCACACACCCGCAAACTTGTCCGGGTTGACCTCGATGGAGCCGCTGGAGACCGTGAAGTCCGGCAGCAGTCCGGATATACCGCGGTTGGTGAGAATGCACTCTTGATGGCAATTGGGGCACGTGATCTTTTCCGGTTGGTCCTGGTTGCTCTCTAAGCAAGCGTGACAGAACGTGTGTAGACAAGGCAGTACTCTCGGGTTGGAGAATATCTCATGGCACAACTGGCACTTGCGGGCGCCGCCGCCGGTGTTGCTCGTGCTGGTTCCACTGCCGCCGGTCGATACGCCAGAACCGCTGCTGTCTGAGTCGGTTGGCGAATGGCTGGACGACAAAGACCTATTGTAGTCCGGCCCGAACGTGTTGAATCCGGATAGAGAATCGAGAGATGGCGTCGGAGAAGCCATCGTTCAATCCAACGGGGTTAAATCTGCAAAAAAACAAACCTCATGATAAATAACTCGGTCCCCAACGACAATATGATCAACGAAAATACATAAAATAGAAAACAAAAAGGGGCGAGATCAACGTATTTAGACGGAAGCGGCTAAACAAAAACACCACCCGATTTAATACTAAATTAGCAATAGTCTAACATGTTGTTTCGACGGGTTCCAAGAGAACCAAAGAGCAAAGTCGTTTTTGCAAATGGTGTAACCGCAACTTTAACGAGCCCCGCTATTCGTCGTTATTATTTGCGTCACGTTTATTAACAGCAAGCACAGAGGGCGGCGGACGGGGACGAAAACAACAACGAGGGAGCGCACAACCCCGGCGATAGGTGGATTTATTGCGGCCGTCAAATCATACGCGAACCGACCGACCGCGGTAAACAACACTACGCCGTTTGTTACACGAGATTACCATGGTAACCGCCGACGACGCAGCATCATCAGCAACGGCGGCAGCAGTACTGCCGCTTCCGCCGTCGACCTCACGCTTCCCCATCACCTGCGCGCACCCACTCGCGGTCGGCCGCTTCCCCTTTGCACACGCGGCGCACGCGCTTCCCGTCGCCCGTGTGTGCGTTGACACTGTCGTTGTTCGTGACTAAAGCCCAACAACAACGACAGCGGTTGAAGGGGTCAACGAACCGCAAAACCGTTTTTGTCCGTTACAAAACTTGCGCGACATCTCGATACAACAACAACAACAACAACAACAACAACAATGCCAACATCATTACTCTCGTTTCGCGTCGCTTTGTTTATCGTCATTGACAAACAGAGTTTTTTTTTTATTATATTTCCTGCGGAAAAAGGTTGGCGCCACCCCCTCGACATCACACACACACACGCCGGAAGACACTTGGAAGACTGAACCGGCCACTACGCATATGGCTCGGCCTAGGCGTGTGTGTTTGGTTTTGCCGTTATTTTTCGATATGGACAATGGAAGCGGTGCGAACACGTTTTTTATTTTGCTACTCAGGAGGGGCCGCCGCCAGAGAACGGGCTCTGCTGTCGTCTACCTGAGTGGAAATAATATAATGATGACGGAATAAAAACGCTTTTGTTAATACGTCGATTAACGTTGTACGAGGATTAACATAATTTTTCGGACACACACATGACTGACATGGGGTTTACTTTATATTATTATAATAATAATAATATACACACACAAGACATATACTGGTTGACGGTGGCACCGGGCGCGACTATGAGAACTAAACAATTTGTAGGGTAATGAGACCGCCGAGTAGTATTTTTTTTTTTTCGCGGAGTGCTTGTACCTTGTGAGAAATATCGCGTCAACGGGGGGGCCCATCCTTTGCAATGTTCCCTTCGTTTTCTTTCTTGTGACGGCCATTTCTTTTTACTACCCTCCACCCAAACACGCACAATATAATATAAATATCCTTTCGCGTTTATTAAGTAAAAATGTTTTAAAAGGATCCGCCGGCATTGAGCGGGTTTTTTTTTCTTTGTCGCTCCGGCGTTTTTCATTTTTTTTTTTTTTTATTGTCATTTCTCCTTCGGGTGCGCGCGGTGTACGACGCTATAATCTCGGTTTTTCGAAATACCAAAAATCTTCTCACAACGCACGCACGGTGGGCATATATATATAGTGTTTGAAAATAAATAACGTTTAACCGCTGTGGATTTTCGACAGAGGGAGAGCGAGCGCAAGGAAACGATTTCGCTCGGGTCGGGGAAATGCATTATGAACAGGGATGGGCGATCGGTGAAGCGGGGAAGGCGGGGGCGACGATAAAGGGGAATATTGTGTTAAGCGCGTGTGTGTGTGTGTGTATACAAACACGGAGGGGGTCGATCGCCGGCGTTTCCACGGCAACTAGTTGCTCCTGTGTTGTTGGTGTATGTAACGGCATACACCACCAAGGCGACAGTGAGCCCCGCCGGCCGGTGAAAAACAAAAGCTACCCTTCAACGATACGGGGCGTTACGTTAGTGAAAACGCCACACGGTCGAGACATATTTCCTTAGACGGCAAGACATAACCACCGGCGCACGTTGACCCGGGTGGTCTTTTTTTTTTCCCCCCGTCTCTCTCGACCACTGCTGCTATATAATAACTGGTCTCGGCGATTTAAGACTGTTCGTTTTTCGCGTTTATTTTCAGACGACAGACGACGACGACGACGACCTTGGCGCAGACCGAACGCGTCTAGACATTCCTCATGCCGTCCACCCGCCCCCGCCACAAAGGACAGAGGCGGTCGGTCACACGACACATCCCCGGGCTCGTTATTATTATTATTATTATTTCGCCATAACATTTTCCCCCCCCCCCAAGTCGTTTTATTGGTCTTTCTCTTTTTTTTTTTTTATTGTTGTCTGACCGACCGTTTCCGAGAAACCACACACACACACAAGACGAAGTCGACCGACTATCGTCGTCGTCGTTGCCGTTTTACAATATTAATATTGAACACGTCTCTTGACGGATATTATTATTATTATTGTTGTTGAAACAACGGCGCAGTAGTAATAGTAGTAGCCGCCGCCGCCACCACCGTTGCACCCTATACGGACGGAGAGGGGGTTGAAGAGCGGCCGAAACACAGGGTACATACACAAGCGGCAGCAGCAGCAGCAACAGGGAGAAACGTATATGGCGGCGGCGGCGGTATATTGATTCGCACGGTATAAAAAGGGGGATGTAGATGGAGAGGAGAAGGACCTTGAGCCCGGGCGCCCGCCGAGAGGACAATAACTGCGAGGGTCGACGACCGCCGCCACAACTTTCAAACGCCAAAATAATGAAAAAAACGTTTCCACTTTCCCCTAAACGTGAAAAAAAACAACCCCCCCCCCCCGTAACCGTTCGGGGCGGTAAGAGGCGCGGCGGCGGCGGTGGATCGATACGTTTATCCGAATTTGATGTTGTAATAAAATAATAAAATGTAAAAATTATTTTTCCACGAGGTCCGAAGTGGTGGTGTTTTTCCGCGTTGGTATTGAATCGCGTTTAGGGCACGAGAGAACCGGACAAAGGGCGGTAATGGAGAATTTCGGATTATGCTCTATAACTTTATACAAGGTATAATCTACCTATACTCATTGTCAGCGGTTATCCGCAAGCATAAAGCTATTTTCGATAATAAAACAATATATTACAACTCGGGAAGTGACCCAATTGACATACATACACACACACACACACACACACACTAAAACGACGAACAATCGAGCGCGGCAGTTTTTTTTTTAATTATTATTATTATTTAATGACCCCAATAGTGTTTATTTGTTCTCCGTTAAACACACACACACACACATTACCGGCAGACAACGCCGTGCGTACGTGACGCCAAACGTAAAAACAAAATCACACCGTACCGATTACAAAAGTCCCTATTGGGTTATTATATTTAATCTATTGTTATACATATATACTGTTTTTGTTTACACGGTGTTGTGATCTTAATTTACTTTATTTCTCTTATTAAAAAAACCTTGATCGACTACGGCAAGGAGCTCCTGCTGCTGGTACGACGACTCGTTTTGTGGTCAGCCGACACCGACGACAGTGTTGCCAACAGCTAGTAGAGCGCGACCTCCGCCGCCGCCGCCCGACCGGTGGCGGACCTTAACCTTGGCGCCCCGTCGTGTTGCGGTAGGTCGAAAACGAAGCGGCGCGCGCGCTCATCGGCCAGTCGTCAATTTCACCCAAACCCCCCCCCCCAACTGCCTTGATCTAAATTTAAAAAAACTCAAAAAACGACAGCTACAATTAGTATTTATCAAGTCGATTTGCTAAAACACATTTAGAATATTGAATCACACACACACACAACTCACAAGAGTGTGTCACAAACGGAAGTCGTTAACACACACACACACACACATACAAGAGACGGCTGACTGCGACCACCGTGTGGGGCAGATGACGTCACCCCGTCGTATAATATATCACCGCAACAAATAATAATAATAATAATATTATAGAAACGACGCACGTCTCATACCGAATAGAGGAAATAATAATATATTATCGTTAATAATTATAATAGGCACGGCCGCGCGGCAAATAAATACAATAATCTCGGCGTCGCACACTCGTTAATTATTATTATTGTCAAAACTATTATCGGCGATACTCAAAAACGATTACCAATATTATATTATATTGAATTTGTTATTGTTGTGTTAGCGAGTACTTCTCCACACAAACACATTAGGAATAGCGTTGTTTTAACATATTATTTTTTCTATCAGGTATAAAACGTATGCGACACTATAGGCGGTTCGCGTGACCCGAGGCTTTGAGCTACGACGTACTTGAAAAGTCCTCCAGCCAGCCGGCATATATATATATATATATATATATATATAACTTCTCGGTTGCAAAAGTCTACGGTTCGAAGAAATTAAAAATGTATACTCGGCGCCAAAAAAAAAAAAATTAACGTTACAAAACCGCGAAACAACAATCGTAATCGCACACTCCTTTTGTCGAGCGCCCCAACAACACCTGGCGGCGAGTCACCTGCTCTTTTGTAAGTGTACCCACAACCTCTTATTGTGTGTGTGTACGGTTGTAGTGAAAGGCACAGCGGCAAAGTCGGTATCGGCAAAAAAAACATATTATACACAGGGCGTCGCCGGTGTGCTTTGCAGTTAGAGAGGACGAAAATAAAAGTTTAAATTCAGGTCGGTTACGCCCGGACTGGTGTCGAAACCGGTGGCTGTGGTCCAACAGGGTCTAACACGCCACGGTAAGCGCACCCCTGCCGGGAAACTTATAGTCTTGTCATGAATGTCTATGAAAAAGGGCGACATTTATACAAAAACCAATTTTTTTAATCACTAGAAACGCAATCTTTCGGTCCTTTTCACCGTATTCGACGTTAAACGTACATCAAATTGTGGAAAAATACATTTTTTACTGTTCTAAAACATTTAACTTTTATACATGAAAATATGTTTAAAACCCGACATACCCTCCAAAAAGGTTATCTCT